TTAATAACATTTGGCAAGTTACCCTGCACAGATAATTCCCACGCTTTGCTCTTCTTACCAATGCAAATCACAGGAGCAGCGCCCTCCCACAGTTGTGTACATCACACACCTTGGGAATAATCTCATTACTACCTTTTCTCCACCAGCCTCATATATCCTGACTGTTAAGGACAAAGATACATTAAATCACCAAAGCTGAGTGCCTTTCATCTTATTTGCGGCCTTTTCTCTTTAAGCTTCTCCCCATCACCTATAGAAACTGTTTCAACTACAATGTAACTCTGATGCTGAATCTGGCTATTAGAAATCAAATTTCAGATGATTTCAGGCACCTCTGCTATTGCCTAAATTGCTTTGTTATTCTGCAGAGCAGTTGCAAACATGCCAAGGTCATCAGTAAAATCTCACTTCCACATTTTAACTGGAGAAGTTTGAAAAGCACTGTACCAAAGTGCACTGTTTGCAAAAGTACCATTCTGAATCTATGCGGGATGGTTTACTAGTTCTCAGTGATAAATACATTCAATGTCACATTCCTTGGAAGCTGTTGATTTGCTGTACTGGGTCTGGCTAGAATGGAGTTACTTTTTCTTCACAGCAGCCCCTATGGCACTGTGGTTTTTACTTGCAACTAAAAGTGTTGATAAGACACCAAAGGTTGGACTACTGCTGAACAGCACAACCTGAAGATTTTCTTTTCCCCTACTCTATATCCCCAGCGAATAGGCTGGGGGTGCACAAGAAGTTGGGAGGGGTCACTGGCAGGATGACTGACCCAAACTGGCCAAAGGGGTATTTCATATCATAATGCCTAATTCTCAGCAATAAAAACTTGGGTAGAGGAATAACCGGGTGGAGGCCAATTTACAAGGCAGTAATTGCTCAGAACCTCCCTGGGCACTGGTAAGCAATGCCTTTGTATCATGAGTTTCTGACCCACCTCTTCCCTTCACTTATTAAGTGTCTTTCTGCTAAGGCACAAGCTTTCTCACTTTTGCTCTTCCCGTTCTCTCCCCTGCCTCACTGAGGGGCACAAATAAGCAGCTGTGTGGGTGCTGAGCTGCTGGCTAAGGTCAACCCAACACATGTGCCTTCTCACTCCCAGGAGAAGGTGTTAAGTGTGACATACCACACCAAGAATATCCATTTCACAAATAATTCAGAAGCATAAAACTTACCAGAAGTGCTATCATAATTACTTAAGTACACATAGCTTCCAGAATAGCAAAACCACCACATAATTAACAAGATATTAGATGATCCAGAAACCCCAAACATCTTGCATGCTATGCCTAATATAGTGTCTTTTGTTGGAAGCTATACAAAGGTTGTTTACATACCAAATATATTCAAAGTTATGCATGTATTCTAGCAAAAACAAATAAGCAAATAACAAATCAATGTATTAAAACGAGTTCTTTCTCAGTGCAATGAATACTGCAGTTGCAGGGTTGTAACAGCTTTGCAACTGCTTGTTCTAGCAGCAAAGACCTTCTTAATAAACGTATGACCTGTGCAGCTAATTCACATATGATAATTCTAAGAGTATCTACAAAGGAAGTCCATGATTAAAATCAGTATTTGAAAGCTTACCCTTCAAGCCACAACAATGGAATGGGCACCTGATAATTTAAGACTTTGGTACTCTTCAGAGAGCAATCAATATTACAGAAGTTTTAAACTACCTCACCTTTGTTAATGCTTTGCTCCTACGATCCTCAATGCTCTCACACTTTATGTCTGTTCTAAAGTAACGCTCCTGCACCTTGTGAGGTTTTTCCTCCCAGAGTTTATCACTGCTACTCCAACAGTGCACAGCAAGACACATCCCTCACTTTTATGGTGCTCTCAGCATGTAGCTCCTATTGAAGCCCTATACCTACTTTTTTAACATCCTCCTCTATTATAGCAGTTGCACTACAGCTCAACTGAAATGGTATAAAGTATTCTGACGTTTCCAGAGAATTTTAAAACACAGCACAGCATGTCCCTAAGGACTATCTTTTGGAGGCTGAGAGAGTTGTGCTGCTGCATTTAGAATAAATGGCCACATCAAATGCCGTAGCAATTGCTCTGTTTGTTTGGGTTTTTGTTTGTTTGCTTTTATCCTTTAGGAAAAAAAAGAAACCCCTTACTCCTGTGTTTCATTTAATCAAACCCTGTGAATCCTTCTTAAGCTCTTCTAGTCACATAGCAATAGTTTTCTTAAGAGCAAGCATGCCAAGCAGCTTTAGAAAAATAGGTTCTCAAAACTGCCAGAATACGAATATTCCTTAAAATTCAGACGACTTCAAATGAGCAGTTTGGAAGCAGAATTTCCTTCAGACTTACCTCAACACTTCCATCATTTGTAATGACGGTACACTAAAGATGCACCCTTATCATTGCCCCTGACGCTTTTGTTGTCCGGCTGACTCGGTTACACTGAGAGCTAGCTGCACTCACAGCCAGGCCTCCGCACTAAAAGCTTTAAAGCTACTACAGCGAGATAGAGACCTGCTTCGCGTGTGGGAGACCAGCCTGCACCTGCCGGATGCGGCCGGACCGGACTCGGACGACAGGGAGCGAAGCACCGTACCCGCGAACGGGCGGCCGCACGGCGTTCGCCCCCCGGCACAGATCCTTCGTGACCCATATTTCTCACACGAGCAGGATTTGTTTGCTCTCAACTCAAAGCGGCAGCTCTGGCCTTGCCCGCCCTCCCGACACCGGCCTACCCGGCCCGCCTCCCACCGCATCCCTCTCCCCTACCTCTCTCGTCCTCGTCGATGCGCAGCGCCATGGAGATGCACTCAAAGGCCCGCTTGTGGCAGGCCCTCACCGTCTCGGGCGCCCCGCCGGGCTCGGGCGCGTCGCTGGCTCCGGCCCTGCTGCCCTTGGCGGCCATGAGGGCGCCGCAGGAGAAGCGCTCGCAGAGCCAGGCGAAGAGCAGCCCGAGCTGGAAGGCGACGAAGCGGAGCAGGGCGAAAGCGGCGAAGAGCGGATACGAGAAGTAGTACAGGTTCCGCTTATGGGGGGACGCCGCCGCTGCCGCCGCTGCCGCCGCCGCCCCCGCCGGCGGCACGGGGGGAGCCGGCCCAGGCGGCGAGGAGGGTGAGGGCCCGGCGGCCGGAGGCGCGGAGCTGGAGCCGGCTGAGCCCTTCTTTTTCCCTCGGCCGCCCGGAGAATTCATTCACCGCCGTCGCCATAACCCGCTGCCAACGACTGACAACAACCGGCCATGGCGGCAGCGGCGGCGACGCCCCTTTCGTTCAGCCCCAGGGGGAGGAGTGCGCAGGGCACTTCTCAGACACCGCCCGCCGTCGCACCCAGTGCCTTTGCCGGCGAGCCGCAGCCACAATAGGAGGCGGAGACGGCGCCGCGGGGCGCCTACAGCTCCCGGCCTGCCCCGCGGGCCGGGGCGGGGACTCCAGCGGGACGTAGCACCGTGTCTGTCAGTGCTGTGCCTATGCCCGGGCCAAGCCCGCGGGATGGCAGCACACTGAAACGCAGCGGGTGGGAAGAGGATGAACCTAATTAATTTAATAACATTAATTATTCCGACTGGCGCTGTGAGCCGCCCCGCACTGCGGGGTACCTGGCGCCGCTGTCGGCGGGCAGGCGTTGTGGGAGGCAGATGAGCATCGTTGGGAGGAATTTCCTCCCTCCCAAAGTCGTTCGCAGAGAGCTGCAGCCAATGTCCATCCTGCCGCCTCTCGTATCGCCCCCGGGAACATGGCAGTGGGTTCTCCGGTGATTTGACCACTCAACGTCTGTATAGCTGCCGTGACAGACTGCGCACGACCTGCGCCTGGGGCCGGACCGAACCCTCCCTCTGAGCTGCGATCTTCCCCTCCTTTCATTTTCGGTTGATTTGTTTTGTTTTGTCACTCTCTGCTCTGCAAATAAAATACTCAGAGCTACTGTTAACGTCATGACAGATCGCTCCCTTCTACACCCCAGAAAGGTCAACAGAAGCCAGGCTGACCCAGAGTATGAGTTCATAACTCGGTGCACCAGCGAGCTGCTTTCCCGTTCACAGCAGGAAATTGGGGCAGGGGGGGTGTTAATTAAAAGGAATTGAAATCACTGCCGTCCCCGATGTGTTACTGTCTTTCCCCAAGTTACTATAAAATTACTGTTCGATTACTTTTCTTGTTTGTGCCACACAACTGCTTCTAGTTCAGAAAGCTCCCTCAGTAATGGGTATTGTCTCTACTTAAACCGAGAGTTACTTTAACAACAGAACCAAGTATTAGTTTTCTTACTTCTTACTGTATAAAATACATGATTTTATTAATATATAAAAATCATAAATATACAACTATTCATGACCTAGATAAACTTACCAGTGCCAAAAAAAAACCAACAAACATTGAAAAAGGCAGGAAGTTTCATTATTTTTCATCTGGAAATGACTGGAAAATAATGCAGCAGCTAGATAGGTATTTTTGGTTTGTTTTTTTTTTTTTGTTTGGTTTTTTTTTAATATATATAAGTGCCCTTTTTTAAAAAAAAAAAAGTTATCTCTCCTGATGTAAAAATGTAGCAAATTTTGGAATAGAGAATTTCAGAAAGTTCGATGTTAAAAAAATGTAGCGCTCAAAAATGTCTAGAAAAATAAGCCCCCTATCAATAGATAACAATCTATAGTCACTATTAGCCATCTGCCAACTCTAACATCACCCCATTCCTGAGCAAAACAGAAAAGCTGGTGAAGGAGAATAAACTGAGGGACAGACTGAATGACAGGAAAACAGTAACTTTCAAACCAGCCTGATGAGTTAATCTCCACAGTCCCCTTTAGTTTCTAAAGGCAGCATGACGGCTGTATAAGCCGTATGCCCGCACCACAACACCCCACAGCCACAATACCATCACTGCTTTACACCCCTCAGCCCCGCTCCGGTGACTTAAGAACCGCCGCGCGACCGGCACTGCCCAGCGGCCCGCTTCCGCGTGCCCGCCCGCCAATGGGGAGAGCGGGTTGAGGCGCGCAGGCGCAGTTTGTCGGGAGTCTGCGCCAGCGGCGCCACTTCTTCACTTACGTCAAAACACTTTACGACGCCGTGCGCGGTGGCAGTGGTTGCTGCGGTGAGGCTCTCGGTGACTGCCGGGTCCCGGCCTTACACACGGGTGAGAGCGAGGCGGTTGGGCATCTCCCAGGCCGCGCAGTACCCGCGGGTGTCCGCGCTGCGGCGGGCCCTGGGGCATTGGCGCTCTTTGCGGCGTGAGGAGCAGGGAGGGAGGGAAGGAGGGTAGGAAGAGAGAGGAAGGAAGGGTGTTCACCTTCCTGAGGAAGCACTCGACTGGGAGCCGGCCGTCTCGGGGGGCTCCTGTTTTAAGTGATGAGTACCGTGTTTTGTAATCCTGGTGCCGTCTTCTTCAGCCCCTGTCGCGGTTCTGGGTGTGTGGGAGAAACGCGTACAAGTTTGGTGGTGGGGAAGAAAGCACGGAGCCACTCAGTTTGCTCTCTAGTAATTGTGCCTTAATTGCCAGCAAGCGATACGGTATTAGTCTGCTAACATTGATCTTCACCTCAGCCTGCTGACCGGTATTTTATGGCTTTCCAGATTTCTGTGTGTCCAGCAAAGTCCACTTTTCAAATCATGGAGGCAGAGCAGATCATGGAGGGACAGCCACAGGTACTGCAGGAAATGCTTTATGTGCATAATGCTACATGTGTGAACGGAGCTTTTTCATTTTGCTGACAGTGTGTTATTTTTCAGGTTCCAGAAAATCCCCACTCTGAATATGGCCTCACTGAAAATGTAGAGGTAACAAAGATTTTGTTGTTGTGAAGTACCAGGGAAGTCATATTCCTGATCAAGGGGGAAAATGTTGAGTTTTGAGTCTAACTTCAGCAAATACAATGTTCCCAAGAAAGTCAGATAGAAATTGAACCTACAGAGCAACAGTTCGTTAATACGTGTTCTGTTGTGTTGCTTCCATGATATTAAATGGTACTGAAGTAAATAACGAAACCTTTAATGAGGTGGGGGTTTTTGGAAGTATCCTAGGATCATTATCTATTTCATCATTATCTATTTTATATATATATATGCTTTATTGTGCCACAAAAAGCCAGGCAGACTTAAATTACAGGGAAGAGTTGATGGAATTTCTAGAGAAGTATCAAAGGAAGGGATTCTTTTCATATTCACAGATTAATCCAAGCTGTCTTTAATTACTTATGCTGAGAAAGAGCAGACACAATCCATTCTCTCAGCTGTTGGTAACAGGGTGGATTACAGTAATAACCCTATGATACTTCCTTAATATTTATTAAAAAAGAGCCTTCAGTCTCCTTCCATTATCAGCTTTTTGCTAAGCTTTTGCAGAAACCTTCTCTTAAATATCCTTTGTGACTCATCCCCCTGCTTGTTTGTTGGCTTCAACTTCTGCTACAGAACTTTAACACGTTGGATATGTTGGTCCCGTATCTGTAGATATGCTTATGCTCCCTTGAATACATTTTGTTTACTAGCAGTGGTAGGGTACCCTTTTTTAACTGCAGTTAATGGCGTAAGATGATTCAGCACTTTTTGACCAAAAGCATTTTTGAAGCATTTTGCATACGTTTTCTTCAAAGGGTCCATCTATACTTTTAATAAAGCACAGTCTTGAAGTGCTTGACTTTAATAGAGTCCCCTTGGTCAGGCTCCACCTGAATTTCTCATGCTGTTAGTGTTTTGCGTTCGCAGTGCATGCACACAGGAGCCATTTAATTAAGACTGCTCTTGTTAGCAGTCATTCCAGTCATTCTTGGGTGTAGAATTTAAATCTCTGAATGGAAAAACAGAAATGAAAATGATAGAGACTGGTATCTTCTGATTTAGAAAACTCATGAATTCCTAATGTTGTTTCATCAAAAAGTAAGAATTGAACAGAAGGCTCCTCTGGGTTAGGTTTTTATGCAAGGACAAATATGCACTTAAATTTTCTTTCATCTTGCCAGCAACTTGTAGGAAGATGGGTACTTTGCACTCACGCTTCAAAGCAGATGTGGCTGTGAACATTACCAGTGTTCATTTCCCACTCACCCTTTTTTTGTTTTCCATTTCAGAGGATAGTAGAAAATGAGAAAATAAATGCAGAGAAAACATCGAAGCAGAAAGTGGATCTTCAGTCGTTGCCCACACGTGCCTACTTGGATCAGACAGTTGTACCTATCTTACTACAAGGACTCGCTGTGCTTGCAAAAGAGAGGTAAGATGCTTCAATGTCCCTTCTGTTGTTGGGAAAAAAAGTAGGTCTCAAACATTGGTGCTATGTTACGTTTTCAGACCTCACACACCAGACAGGGCTTTGCTAGTTGTGAGAGTCATTACAACAGGTTTGTGAACCTATGAATTACTCTGGCCCTGCAGGATGTGTTCCTCACTTAGGTGCATATGGCATGATAGATTATTATTCGAATTTGTGATCTCCGAGTGAGGAATACTACTGCAAAGGTTTTGTTTCTTTAAGTCTGTTGATTGTAAATAATTGCACAAAAACTTCATAAACTCAGTGTGAAGCTATGGAAGACTGCTATGAAATTGAAACTATGAAATGACAAAAAGTGAAAGATTTAATACAAATAAACACAAAGTGATGCACCTAGGAGGATAATGCTAGTGACAAAATTATTCTTCCTTCTTGTGAAAAAAATAGCTTTAAACTGTCAAATATATGTGCCAGTGCATTGCTCAGTCAAAAAGAAATACCAAATGGTAGGACTTAGAAATTGAATGGGTAAGAACAAGCAGAATGTCACTATTTAAATTTAGAATGTTCTCATATTTTTAATATTGTGTCTAAGTCACATTCCTTTGTATTCTGGTGGAACGTGAAAAAGTAAGAATGACGAGGTTGTCAGAAGTATGGAATGCTGTCTGTATACAGAGTGACTGAACAGATACCTAGAAATGACACTTCTGAGAGAATATAATAGGAATCTGTTGAATCATGAATAGCACAAACATGAAGAGTTGGGATGAATTGTTTATTTTCTCTTCTGATAGAGCAATCCAATTAAGTGAAGCAGGTAGCTTATTTCATAATGAACAAAGAGGTGATCCTTCACAGCTCACATAATTAAGCTATATAATTTTTTGCCTTAGGTTGAGGATATTAACATTTTATTTGGGGGCAAGGTCTAACTGGACTAAGTTGTAGAGGAATCCACCAGGACTATTATAGGTGCCAACACAGAAGTTGGTACATGGTTGGAGGCCAAAAGGATGATATGTAGAAATATCTTTGTGCAGTTCTGTGTGCCTTCACCCCCTTTTTTAATGCTCTTTATAGGCTATTTGTTCACTGCCAGGCCTTTGGCCTGACTCAGTATGGAATAAGTAAATTTATTCTGTGGACAGGATCCAGATTATCAAGATTCATGCACTGTAGCTGGAAGAACTTTTTTAAAAACCTTGCAGGTGAAGGCCAGTGATCAAAAGTGTTAGCAACCTCTTGCAAGTTACAGCACCGAGAAAACAGCTCTAACGCACAAAGCTATGCAGTAACCATTTGATGAAAATGAAGCAAGAAATCACTGACAGATTAACTTCCACTTTATGCAGCACGAGTTACAGAAATAGGCAAATGTGTGTAACTTCCAATGGTGTGCATGCAGTATTTACACTTACAGACTGTACTCTAGTTCTAGGCATGTGGCTGTTCTAGCAAGTCAGTAACACTGAACCAGCAGTGGCTACAACTCCTTATTAAAAACTTTCTCCTCAGACATAAACTAGTAGTTTACAGGGTAACTCTAGGGAGTTGATTATCCCTACATCAATGTTTGTGTCTGGGAGGAGTTATGTTGCTTTTAAAGGGAAGGTAATTAGTTCTTCAGCTATTTAATTTAATCTAACAAAAATTAGTAACATTTTATTTATTTTCTTCTTTGCAGACCACCAAATCCCATTGAATTTCTAGCAGCATATCTCTTAAAAAACAAGTCACAATTTGAGGACCGAAATTAACTCCATAAAAACGAGGACAGTTTGGCTGCTAGACTGAAATGTTCATTTGCCACAGTTTGTTTTCTGCTGTAAAAATCCTTTGGAAGTTTGATGTTGTCTTTCTTAATCACACAGTTTGCTTTACCTTTTGAGTTATTTAATAAAGAACACTTTACTTTTAATTTGTTCACTTGTTTTAAACCAGTTATTAAGAGACTTTCAAAATAAAGTACAGAAACTGCACTGCTGGATGAAAGTCTGAATAATTCCGTAGGGCTACATCACCTGATGGTGTATGACACAAAGAGGAAAATTCCTTATGGGAATCACATGGGTGATAATGTATGTAACTTAATTTGATTTTATATAGCATCCTCAACACGCAACATGCCTAAACAGAAAGCAAACAAAAGCAGTTAAAATTTATTTTGAGGAAGTACTGATAAAGCAGAGGGGAGAGAAGTTGCTTCAGAAGACCACAAAATGGGTTTAGTTAGAACAAACTATTAGATTCAGCAGCTGAACAGCTCAACTGCAGTGTCAGATGCGGATGTGTACATTCATGAGGTGTGCTGTTCAGCATTAGTCATTGATCTTCTGTGACTGCTATGCTGAATTTAATTGGCAGAATAAAGTTTGAAGGGACTTGGAAAGGTTCTGTAATTCAGTTCTCTGTATTGCTACCCTAGTTAGAATGTTCCCTCTCTGTCCTAGAATCATAGAATATCTCTAGTTGGAAGGGACATGTAAGGACATAAAGTTCTCAAGGACTACTGAAGACTAAACTGCATGACTGACAGCGTCATGCAGGCACTCCATGAACCTTGACAGGCTTGGTGCTGTGACTAGCAAAGCTCTGAAATACCAAAGTTGTAGCTGAAGAACTAGCTAGCCCATGTTATTGGCAATGGAACAACCTAAACACAGCCCTCAGGAGCCCCATTTTTGTTTTCTGAAACTTGTAACAAGGAGCATAATTAACGTTGTTCTCTAGTGCTGAATATGGAAACCTAGATTAAGCACGGCCCAGTTTTTAACAGACTGGGAGAATAACAGTAACTTGTTTTGATGGTCACAGAAATGGTAAACTTGACTTTTAAGAGTTGCTCAAATAATCAAAATCCTAAATTTTTATTCAAATAAACTTCAATATTGCCATCGTAGCATTCCCATCTCCATTTTGTGCTTCTACCTAATTGCTTTAACAAGGCAGGCAGTTAAAACCTAGAAAATTAAATTCTTTGCTGCAAGGGCTGGAGATGTTGAAGCCTGCTTGCCTTTTTTTTTTTTTTTCTTTCCCAATTATGCATGAATTCAGAGTAAGAGACACATTAAGTTCTCATTCGACTTGTTCCTACAATGACTAAAAAACCCATGCTGTATTGGCACTATATTATGTGGCCCACTGCGCAGTAGTATTTTCCCTTTGTTCTCTGACACTAGATGAATTTCCTATGGTAACATGAAGACTTTTGTTTTAACATGGCTTTTCTTCTTTAAAAGCTTAGATACATGTATGTAAGAGCAGCCAGAAGATAGATCCTTCAGAGGAAAGTACATTTCACCTGTGCTAGGGGCTGGGATGAGATCTGGCTGTTACTCCTAGTAGGAATGCTCTCAGTATTTTACATATTTCTTAAAATGCTAGGAGGGAAACATTGAATTAGCGCAGTCCAAGAACAGTAAGACTGGGGAACACAAAAAAAAATTTAAGAGACCTGCAAACCCAAACCCAAGTCTAAAAAGTTCTATTTTGGAAAACTTACGGAAACTGCAGAATACGATTACTAATTCTGTTGCATTGTGGTGAACACACTCTCCATCTAACTCTGACACTTCAAAATGATTTTAACTGTGTTTTGACTTTCTGGAACGAGTAACAACATTTCAGTGAAGAAAAGAAACACCATAAAGACTTGGTAGTGATGTTTTTATTGCTGAAGCAGCATTCCAAGGTTTCATCCATAGGTGGCAACATCGCAAGACTGTAAGAATTGTTAAATGCGTGGGGAAAAAAAAAAAATATCTATGCTGCTCCCCAATTTCCATGTTGAAAATTTGTGCAAGACCATACAAAAAAAAAAAAGCAGTTCAGCTATCACTCTTCCCTAGACAGAGCGGTTTCCTTACACTGTATCGTCATACCTGAATTCAGCATACAATCAGATTTCTCATTTTACAGTAGCACCCATCAAGCAGCTGCACAATGCTTGCAACCCCTCCAGCTTTCTGCACAGCTCTTGCACCAACCTAGAATCTCAAAGCATTGGTACCAGTCTTACAGTGAGCTATCCCTGCCAGCAGCAACCCACCTACTCAGCAGCTGGTGCCACTGTTTGGTACTTGGTGTCACCTACTGTGGTCTTCCCATCTAGGCTAGTTGGAGAGAACAGAAAAGCCATGTTCACACAGTGATGATGTTAGATGTACAACAGCAGCTTTTCTGGACAGCTTCCTGCAAGAAAGTAAGTTGAAATATTACTAGCAGCAGTGAACTCACCAGCTCTATGAAATTAATCTTTGTGATTCTTGCAAAGGCATGACAAGTCAACAAGAAAAGTGCAACCATACTCGTTACATTGGCTTCACCAACTGGGATCTGCTGAATAGAGAATACTCTGTAACAGGAAGAAGATGGTAAGGTACTATCTGAATAATCAGATCGTATCTGAATAATCCAGTTGTCCAAGTTAGGAAAGTAATGATAAAGTCCAAATTTTCAAAGTATTTACTGGTTTTAAACGTTCCCTGCTATGAAACAATTAAAATTCTCTGAAAAGACTTGACAGATGCTTGCTATCCCGATTTAATCCAGAAAGAAGTACTTCTTTTCCTTAGCAAACACCAGTTCCAAGGCCTTCAAGAGAAATGTATTTCATTTTGAAGTACAAATTAAAACCCAAGTGATTTCACATTTATAAAAATGAGGAACTCATCAATAAAATGAACAGATGGAAGGGGCTACAAATTATTAACAGATGTAGAATAAAAGCTTGAAGAAATAATTGAAAATGGCAACTTCAGATGTATGACAGGCCACTGCTAAGTAGCTGAAAGCCATTATCTCTTGATTCTTTAACAACTATTTTTCAGTTTTCTCCACACTACCCTAGGTAACTGAGTTAGTATATGCTCTAAAGGGCAGTAAAGTTAAGCAGAAAATAAAACAGAAAACTGATCAACACCAAAGCACACCTTACAAGACGACTATTTTAGATCCAATAACCAGACACTACTATTCATTAACTGTGAAAGAATTACATATGACTCATGCAGTATTTTGAAGTCTGCCTTTTTAAATGATTCCACAGATAACATTTTCTTTTACCTTGAAGGGGACAGTAAGAGAAGACAGTAAAAGCAATTCTGATCAAAGGGTCCTCTATCTTCATACTCTGAAGCCTGTTACCACCCAAAAAATACTGTTTGACTTGCCAATTTTTTATTTTTTTTTAAATCTCTTATTTATCAAGGACATTCTCCAAAATGAGTACAGGCTTTTGAGCTATGCATTTTCTTTTCTGAAGTGCTGTCACTATTTCAAATGTGGTCTGAGCTGAAGAACTTCTCTCTCCTCATCAGACTTTCTAGAAATGAAGCAGCTGCTTTCAAACAAATGAAAAACATGAAAAACTCTGACACATACAAGCAGTAGAAACCAGTAGACTGGAAACACATGAGAAGAATCCCTGTGCCTACCATGCTTCACAGAGTACAGGTCTGATTTATTCTTACCACTGTACTAATTATGTAACATGATATTCTTAGTCAAGCCTTAGCTTGAGTTCCCTGCCTCCCTTGCACATCAGAGAAAAAAAACAGACTGACGTAGTAGGTCTGAACAGGTAAGTGCTCCTCTTACTTCTCCCTCTACAGACAATGCAGGAGGATCTCCCAACATATCCCATGCTTCACAGCATTCAGCTGAAAGCTCAGCCTAGTTTTTCAGCCTGTGGCTAAAATCTTCCACATCCTGAGCATGAAGAAGCCCAGCACCAAGCACCACCATCTTCTATTTAATTGAAGAGCAGCCTGCTTTTCTGTTTCTACTGCCTTGATTTTTATTGTGTGAAAGCTCTTCCTCTAAATGGTAGAGAGGAATACCAGATAACTAAAAACTATTTTAACCTCCAGTTCCCCTAAGATGTTTTCTCTAGCAGCCTCCTCTAACTCTTCTCGGTGGACTGTGGGACAATGGTGCATCAAAAACTTGAGCTGTATGTTGCTTGACCTTTCTGTAAGTACATAATCACAACGTTTATTTTTCTCCATGGAGTAAAATTTATCATCTGCTGCATTTAGTTAACTTTGTTGAGGGATGAGCAGTAAATTCCGGAACTATTCCCAGTACCGAAGATTTGTACTGTAAAAGACTTGAGAGTTACAAATGGGTATCACAACTGCCAATATAGCTTTATGTTACAGCAGTCAGGCTTTATTGACAAATAGTTCTTCCAGTCGAGACAGAGTTATAATCCATGTTAAGCTTTTTCAACACACTATTTGTAAAAGAACAATGGAATAATATAACGATAGATAGAGCAGTGAAGGCTATGTTAGGCATTTTCTGGGACAGTCAGGCTCCATTTCCTCATGGCAACCCATTACAAACATTATTACTTGGAGATCCTAGTCCTTGTTGCCCCTCAGCTGCACTGGGAAGCCAGTGTCATGGGTGCAGAGGAAGGTCGTCACTGATAAAAGTGACATCAGCCACACCTCTACAGCACAAGCCTTTTTGCTCTTCAAGACATACTGCAAACAATGCCTTTGTCCCTCTCCTTTGCTTAAAAAAACACAACAAAACCACACAACTCAACTAAATCACTCACACACACAAGCTCTGTATCTTGCATGCATTTATAACTAGCTGGAGAACTTTATGAAGAATAAAATCACTAAGGGGGAAAAGGAGAATGCGTTTCCTGGCCTGGCTCTTGTATCTTCCAGCTCACAAAGCATCATTCTGCCTTAATACTTTCATGGCTGCAACCTCTCATTGCGCCAGCTGAGGCCTCCGTCTCTCCTGGGTGCATCTCATACATCGGTGGCTAAACTTGCTCGTCCCTTCGTCCCTTTTGTACTGGTTATGCTTTCCTTCCCAGTTCTGCTTTATTAGCTATTTTGAGCTGTGCTTGATTTCTCCGTGGCAGCACGACGGAGAAATTCACCAAGCTGATTAAAAAAAGTAAAGGATAGGAATTGGAGACTTCCACACAAAGGCACTCCCGCAGCCCCGCTGCGACACGGGAACGACGACATACGTGAGGCGCCGGAAAGGAACTGTGCTAGCTGGAAAGCAAAGCCCCTCCGCCCAGCGCGCTCCCTGTTCTCTCTACCCCTGCCTTTGGGAAACGTGCTCTGTACCTCGAAATCCGACCTGATCCTACAGCCCCCGCCGAGACTGGAGGAAGCCGAGGACGCTGCACCGTACTCTCCTCACAGCAAGGGGAAAACCCCCGGCACCAGAGAGCGCCGCTTCGCTCTCGACAACATCGACCCGCTCACCTCCTGGCCCGGATGGAAAGCGGGGCAGCGGTGCTCCGCGCTCAGCCATGCCGGCGGGAGGCTCCCGCGGGCCTTAGGCGCTCCCTGAACCGCCACCGCCCCCTCCGCCATGCCGGGGCCGGGGGCCACGGGGCCGGGGCGGAGCTTGCCCCCCCGCCATGCCTTCCCTTGTCTGACCTGCGCTCGTAATCTTCCCTTCCACCACGGAGACACAGCCCCACCAATCAGCGCGGCCAGAAGCGATTCCCACGGCAAAGCAGCCAGCCAATCGGAACAGGACTCCGTCTCCGAACCCCGCCTTCCGCTCCCCCGTCCCCCACGAGGCGGTGCCGCTCCGTTTCGGGCTTGTCAAAGAGGTGGGCGGGATCAGCGAGGAGCGTGGCCAATGGCGGCGAGGCTTTTCCTTTCGTGCCCAATGGGGGAGCGGCTCCTGTGCGGCCTCTAGTCCACGGGAGCCGAGCCGGGCCAAACCCAGCTGCTGCCGCGGCCTCCTTCTCTTCGCGTCCCCCCCTACCAGCCAGCGCGGAGTTGGCGGCGGCCTCAGGCTTTGTCCCCGCGCCCCCGGCCCGCGCCGCCCCCCGCGGGGCCACCGCCTGCGGCCGAGCCCGGCACCGCGGTCCCGGCCCGCGCCGCTCTGCACGCCGCCTCCGCGTGCCCCCCTCCCGCTCGCCGTCAGCCCGCCCGCCCGGAGGCGCCGCCGGCAGCGCCGCCTCCGCCCGCGGGGCCCGGGCCGTGCCGGGGGAGGAGGGGGAGCAGCGCCGCCGCCGCGGCCGGGCCCGTCCCCCACCGCCTCCCCCGAACACCATAGGCGGCTCCGGCACCAAGATGTCCAACCGGGTGCTCTGCCGGGAGGCCAGCCACGCCGGCAGCTGGTACACAGCCTCAGGTACCGGCGCCGCGGCCCGCAGCGCCGCCGGGGGTGGGGGGCGGGGGCTGAATCAGCACTTTCCGCCGCCGGGGCCGCGGCCGGGGCCGCCACCGGGTGCGGGGAGGGGCCGCGGGCCCCGCCCCCGCCGGCGCAGCCGGCACATGGCAGGCGTGGGGGCGTCGTGGCTCTGCGGGGCCCGGCGAGTGGGTAGGGGTCTGGGCGCCTGCCGGATCCGGTCACCGGCGGAGACTGGCCCGGGAGGCCTGTGGGGCAGGCGGAGCCGGGAAGGAGGTGCCGGCTTGCACGCGGTGACTGTATCGTGCGGTTCGGGCAGCCGAGCGCGCCTGCCTGCCGTCTTTGGCTCCTCCGGCCCGGCCTGGCTGTCTGCACCGGGGCAGCGGCACCTCTCGCCGGCAAACTGGTGTTGAAGTGTGGCTGGGGCTGGATCGGTCCCCCGGCTGTTCCCTGTGTGCCTGTCCAGCTTTAGAAACGCGCATCCCTGCGGCTTGGCGGCTGAAGGCAGCGGCCGTAGAGCCAGCCTCTGTGCCCTGCCTCGCACCAGACACTGCGCCTCGTCGACTTGAGAGCACACGAACAGATTCCGGTCTCTTGGAGTGCTCTTGTGGTGGTTTTTGTTCCGGAATTTTTAATTTCCCTGAGAGAATACAGGATGTCTGGGGCGTTTTGCAGGCTTAGAAGGCAGGCGATGGGGTGTGGGTGTAGAAATAATGAGGTTTATTTTATTTCTTGTAGACCAAAGCGAGCTACTGTATTTTCTTCAAAAGCCCTTTCTTTAGTAGTAATGAGAAGTTATAAGGCAGTAGTACGGGATGGGCTCTGCCTATTTAAAACTGTAGTATTTGCAGAGAAAGAATGGAAGAAGGACACAGTGCATTGGAGGGGGGGCTGGTGCTCCCCTTGCCCTCCCAAGAAGAGACAGAGACTTGTAATAATGGCTTGATAGCACGTATGTTTGGAAATAACTTTTGTTGGGCTTTGGGGCAGAACTCTGCTGGTGTAGATAGGGTGCAGTTTGTGTTTTCTGAGCTGTTAATAAGAGATGCTCTTTTACCAGCCTTGGGAGTAAAGATCATTAGAAAAGTGCAGGTGAACAAGCTTAGATGAACAAGGGGCTGTTGTAGAGGGTAGTTCAGAGGGAAGGAACAAATAGCAATGGATTCAGGATCCTAAACTGATACTCAGAAGAAGTAGATTACACTTGGCTATAATAAGTGCATTTTCCCTCTTCTCTACAAATTAATGAACAAAGTATGAGGCAAAAATTGAAAGGAAAGAAAAATACAGGGAAGAGAGTAACACAGGAAGAGGCAGATTGTGAGATATGTAGCTGGGCTTCAAATGGTGGATAGGCAGTTTCAAGACAACAATAGATGATGATTTGCTTTCCTTCAAAGTTTAATGTTGCAAACATAACTGTTGTGTCCATTTCAAAAGTGGTCTCAAACCTTCATCCAGTGTCGATAGCTTGCAGTTACAGATTTTTTCCAATGGTCTAGAAAGGTAAGTAGTGCTGTGTTTACAGAAACCAGACAAAATCATATCAAAGGTATAGATGTAAACATGTGCAGAGACATCAAAACGCTGAAGCTTTGTGGTAACACTTCCCAACTTGCTTGAGCTGGAATTATTTTAACTTTTTTCATAATTAAAGAGTCATAGATGCTGTGTTTGGCTGTGGGTTTTTTTTTTTTGGTTTTTTTTTCATATAAATATTCAGTGCATAATTTTGTTAGGCTACACCCTGGTAAGTCTGTGTGACTAGTTCAGCCAGTACTACTTGTCTGTCCAAAAGCATGTTGCTCCAGTTGCTTCTGGGCAGCCCTTTGGGTATTGCTTATTGAGGAGGTGTGGGATGGTTGCTGAGACGCTTAACACTGCATGAAAAAACCCAAACTGAATCATGTTGTAACTAGTTATGTTGACTGTTCTTCTGACAAGTTAAATTGCAACTGTTACCGTGTGTGTCCTGGGGGGAAGTGGTTGTTGCTGCATAGGCTGGAGTTTTGGGAAGTGTGTTTTGTTTTCTTTAAACAAGAAAAGAACTTTATGTCTCTTCACATAGAACTCTCTTGCACTGTTTACTTAGGGCATTTGAGAGTGGGAATTCTCCCTGCTCAGCAAGACTTGCCATCGGGGAACTGTTGTTTGTTGCTTGGCAGCTAATTTTTTTGTGCCATGTAGGACGTTCCACAGCAGAAACTCAAGAGGAAACAAATGGGGACCAAGAGGGTATGTGTATAGACTTACGTGTATATAGGTATAGACTTAAAATCTTCCTGTATTTTAGGCCAAACTTGCATGTCAGCTGCTATTTCAAACTTGTAACATAGGCTGGTTTCCTCAGTCATACTACTTGAACCAAGTCTGAATTTTACCATGTAGTTTTAACCTGCATAGCTTCAAGGATGGAGCTGGGCCAGGGATTAGAGTCTGAATTGCAATAGTTCTTCGTTGTGTTTCTCCGGTTCTCCAGGGATTGTGTTGTCAGGTCCGCCTACCTGCTTTCTTTGTGCTTACCATCTCGGCCCAAAAGAGATTTGCTGGGTTATATATAAACTGTTTAGCATTTAAGCTTCCCGTTTCCTGAAAACTGCCCTCTTTCTACAGAGCTGAGTTTGATTACACGTGGATGCCCTGGAAATCCTCACTCATCCTGCTCCATAGTTAAGATGACCCTGTCTGAAAGGGTAACGAGAAACATGTTTTTTGAAGGATGTGTTCAAAATCATTACGTCTGAAAGTATTTGAAAGAGGCTGCATGAGGATGAGGTTATTAAGTGGGTGTTTATCCCAAAGTGCTTGGTACCTGAGGGCAGAACATAAACAAAACATCCAGTATGGTGCATGGTGTCCTGGGTTGGGGTGGGGGGATTGACTGCAAAAGTAGAGCCCCCATTGCTATGATTAACAAATGTGTATCTGTGAGATCTGGCTATGGAAGTCAGCCCTGGGAAAGAAAGGCTGAAGCCAGCTGAGAGGGATCCAGAATGCAAACCAGCTTTTGTAGTCAGAGGATATCCTTGAACAGGATTAGCTGGCTCCTCTGTGCTCAGGAGTGGAGGCAGTATCAGCTGCAGCCCCAACCGAGAAAGAGTGAGCTGCTATTCTTTGTGGGAAGTTAATGTAATGTATATGAAGAGGGTTTAGAAGAAGGAATGCTTTCTTGGCTTTAGAGACTGCTCATTTCTATGGGGCAGCAATTGTTTCAGCTGAAAGCAGTCGCTCCTCTATTCAGCTATGGGGTATGTCCTGCTTAGGTTCTGCTTTTGAAAATTTTTCTGATTCCAGCTGTAACATGTTTGTGGGGTTTTTTTTGTTTGCTGGTTTCGTTTCTTTTTTTTTGGTTGGTTTTTCTTTTGGGGGGGCGGTGTTGTGTTTTGTTTGTTGTTGTTTTTTTTTCTTCCTAGTACCTGGTGCAGAGCTGTGCTTTGCCTTTAGTCTGGGAACAGCGCTTAAAGCACACCAATGTTTTTAGTTGCTCCTCAGTAGCACTTACCCTGATCAAGGACTTTTCAGTCTCCTGCCAGTGAGGAAGGGCATAAGAAGCTGGGAGGCAGCAGAGGCAGGATACCTGACCCAAACTAGTCAAACTGACCATTCCATACCACAGCACATCATGCCCAGCATATAAACTGGGGGGAGTCACCTGGAAGGGACTGATCACTGCTCTGGTTGGGTTGGGTATCATTCAGAGGGTGGTGAGCAATTGTACTGTGCATCACTTAGGGTTTATTGTTTTCTTTTTTTCTTTACCCTTTTAGTTTTATATTCTCTCTCCTTGTTATTTCCCTTGACACTATTATTAGTAATATTATATTGTAGTTCATTAAACTGTTTGTATTTCAGCCTGTAAAGTTTTACATTCTTCTGATTCTTCTCTCCCATCCCACCCTGGGGGGAAAAGGGTAGAGGCGTGAGCGAGTGACTGTGGTACTGAGTTGCCCTCTGGGTTTAAACTATAACAAAACTGCACTACAACATGCACTACATTCATGCAGGTAGACTTTGCAAAATTCTATTTGCAATAGAATGCATTACATTCTATTGCAAATATATCACCTAATTATATGATGCTAATTAGCATTTTGGAGCAAGCGAGACTGGCTATGCAATTCTGCACATCCACACGTGCTCACATCTTAGAATGCCACATCTAACTATAAAAAGCAACTTTGTTACGGGAGGGAAAGTGAAGTCCCAGTGGAAAGCTCACTGCTTCCTACTCACTTGACGAAGCTGAGAAAAGGGGTGAGAAGGAGAGGGGAAGATGGGCTTTACGGTGGTGGTAGTGTTTAACTTGCCATGTGTTTTTCATCCATAATGTGCTGTTCTAAATAGAAATTTAAAAAGCAAGTTCCTTAAGAGGTTTCTGTAGCTGAGCTCAGTATGAAAAACTTATATGAAATTACCATCATACCTTCTCCTTTAGAATTCTTGGTGTGGAGAAGTTCATGTTCGTGCGGCATTGATCTGTATAGCATCTTAATAGACTTTAGCTATGACCTGTGGAGCATCTGTCTGACAGCAAACTAACAATGAAATCTGTTTCCTCATTTGTTCCTCCCTGTACTTAGCAGCAGTGCTGAATATGGAAAGCTTTACAGCAGAGCTTCCAAACTGAAATAGTGCTATGACCATTGCTGGTAGCAGGCCACAGGTTTAAATAATGATTTTTTTTACTTGCTGACCTTGATCTATATGTATGCTTTCATAAAAAGTTATAAATGATATGTTGCATGCCGTTGTTTCTGTGGACTAACAGCCTCGTGTATGGTGGCTACTGAAAACAGTTTAAAAAACGAGATGAAGGCATACTGTGTAAATAAAAGTATCACCCTCTTGCACTGCTGTCATAGATTGATTTGGGGATTTTTTTTATTATTTTTTTTTCTTAAAGTATCTCTGTTGTATTGTGAAAAATACTACGCTGATTTATTTTTGGAAGAAAGTCTCCCTCCTGCTGGGTTAATTCAACCCCCATAGCTTCCTGACCTCTT